GTAAACAAGCCTGGGCCGTTATTAATGAGTTGTCCAACAAAAATTCAATTCACAGAAATATTTCACTTGATGAAAATGGTTCGGTCATATCAGATCCAAATATTGTGGCTGCATTGTTCAATGACTATTTTAAAAATGCGCCAATAAATATTGTTGATTCTATTCCTAAGATGGTCAAAGATACAGCTGTGCCAGATTGTTTTCCTAAAGTAGTGAATAATCATACATTCTACTTAGAATCATACACAGAAGCCGAATTGTTCAGTTTAATAACATTCAAAATGAAAAATAAAAAATCATCGGGTTTTGATGAGATTCCATCATTCCTTATTAGAAGAATCCTCTTTTTTATAACAAAGCCTATAACATATCTGGTGAATTTATCGTTTGAAAAGGGAAGTTTTCCTAAAACAATAAAAGTTGGTAAGATTACCCCTGTTTTTAAGAAGAAGGAACCTCAAAAAATTGAAAATTACAGACCTGTCACTGTACCTTCTGGATTCTCAAAAATTTTTGAATACTGTTATTTAGAGCGACTTAGCTGTTTTCTAAATAAATATAACATGCTTTCTGATTGCCAGCATGGTTTCAGAAGTAATTTCTCTACAAATACGGCAGTAACAACCTTTTACGATATCCTTTCTAATTTCGTGGAGCATAGCGAGTGCCCTGTTGGCATCTTCTGTGATCTCAGCAGGGCATTCGACTGTGTAAATCACGGAAAATTGTTGAATAAATTATTTGACATTGGTGTACGAGGAACCCCTCTTGATTGGGTTGCATCATTTTTGTCTGAGCGTAAGCAGTTTGTTAGCATTAATTATAGAAATGAGAGAGAAAATACAAATGTCTCATCATCTCTTGCGGACGTTAACATGGGGGTGCCACAAGGATCAATATTGGGCCCTATGCTGTTTATTATATATATAAATGAAATATGTACCATATCACCCAATACCAACTTTATATTATATGCTGATGATGTATCTCTAATCATATCAGACAAAAGTGATGACAATATTGCTGCCAAGAGTAGTGCAGTACTTGACTCTCTCAGTACCTGGTTTTCTTTTAATAATCTTTACCTCAATCCAACCAAAACGAACTTAGTGAGATTTCATACAAGGCAGAAAAGTGTAGGACCTATGAATCTGATCGTTGATAATGCAAATGTTGAACAAAAGAAAACAGTCACATTTTTAGGTGTCTCTATGGATGAATGTCTAAACTGGAGATCTCAATGCTCGAATATTGTCTCAAAACTATCTTCTCTTACATTTCTTTTCAGAAATATAAGATTGTTATTGAATAAACAACAACTTTTAAACTTATACTTTGCTCAAGTAGACTCTCGACTGAGATATGCAGTTTGTTTGTGGGGTAATTCAGTAGCGGTGACCGACGTGTTGGTAGCACAAAAGAGAATAATACGATGTATGTTTAATATGCCCAGAAGAACTTCTTGTAGACCGATTTTCAAGGAATGCAAAATTCTAACTGTCACTGGTATTTATATATTTGAAATGTGTATGTTTGTTTTTAGGAATAAGGAAAAGCTCAACTTGAATAGTGACCTTCACAATTATCATACTAGGCAAAAAAATAATTATTATGTCCCTTTTGCAAAACTGAGAATTAGAGAGAATGCACCAAATTTTTTAGCACTTAAGATTTTTAATAGACTACCAAATGATTTGAAGACTATCGTGAAGATTAAATGTTTCAGAATCCAACTCAATGAATTCTTGACATCATCATGTTACTACTCCCTTAAAGATTATTTAACTTAAGGATGCAATACTTTACTATTTTGTACTCTTGACTATTCCTATATGGTTATTGTAACTATCAAAAGGAAAATAAAGTTTATTATTATTATTATTATTAAACATAAAAAAAAGTTGTCTCGTGCGCCAAATTATTCCGTCGACTATCCTTAGCACCTAGTTACACCCCACCTAGCGTCGGGTTTGGGTGGGAGGAGGGTGGAAAGTCTGAAATTTCCTTTTTTCCCAGTTTTTTGCCTATTAAAAAGTAAACTCAGTAGTGCTCTGTTTGTCCTACGTCAATTTCAAACTGTAACCAATTTTAATGCACTCCGAACAACATATTTTTCGTTATTTCACTCGCACATCAGTTACGCTACTATTCTTTGGGGTGGTTCGTCTGACTCTCTCTTAATTTTTCGTTTACAGAAAAAAGCTGTCAGGATCTTATCCAGTGTAAGCTATCTGGAACACTGCCAACCTTTGTTTATTAAACACAGAATAATGCCCTTGCCGTGTTTGTTTATTTTTCAAGTTCTGATAGAGATTCACAAAAACTCCTCGATGCTCACTAAGCAATCTGATATACACAGCCATGGTACTAGACAAGCAGATAACCTGAGATCAAAAAAGTTCCGCCTAACTAAATCTAAGAAAAATTCACTGAATTATTATCTCTACAATATACTTCCACCAGAATTGAAATCTTTAAGTATAAACTTATTCAAAATAAGGATAAAAAACTTACTTTTGATGCATTGCTTTTATTCCACAGAGGAATACATTGGACATTTCAGACCTTGTAGAGAATAAAACTCGTCTCGCCAAATTTCCAATTTTATGCTACTTCTATGTTTTTTTATTCTTCAATCTATTTTCTATGTTTTAATGCTATTTTACAGTAATCTACAATATTTTTATACTATATGTGATGTATTTCTATAGTATTGTCGTTTTTATGACGTGCTACAAACATGCATTGTAATGTAGTCAAATAAATATACTCTCTACTCTCTACTCTCTACTCTCTACTCTCTATATCTTGAAAACTGAGGTTTAGTGCAAAGGTCCTTGCTGTACAAAAATGATCTACATTGGTTTCTGAAGAAAAAAGTTCTCTACAACTTTTTTGTTAAATGAACGTTTACGGAGATATGGAAGGAAAAAAATTACAAAATTTCATAAAAATGCTGCAAAACAATGATGAAATCCTATTTTCCCATATGTATTTTGAATGATCTTCTCTTCCGAGTCCTACTGTAGCTGTCTGTGAACAGTCCAATGGTACCAGGAAGGACCCAGTTGTGATTTTGTTATACATTTATGCAGAGGGCAATATAATTCAAATATTTGATATTCTAAATAATATACACCTACCTACAGGATAGTATATTGTTTAATGAGCAAAATCATACGAGTGGAAAATTAGCATTCCATGTGAGTTATACACTATACTTTTTCTACGGCTGTAACAGATAACAACGAAATTTTTGATTTCTTCAGCTTGTAGCCATCTGATTGTCTCTTAAGTAATGTTCATCTATTTGACAGAGCTGTCATTGCTTGAAATTCGACATTTCATGGGAGATGAGATTTTGTGAAATAATAACACAATGTTCATTTTACTTGATTATTTGGGATTTTCTCTACTCGTTTCTACATCATAAAAATATGAGTAGTATTTCAATATATATGTGTAGTAGGACTATAAAGAAGCCTAGAAGAAAAATCCAATAGCTTGTCAGTGACACTTTGTTTGGGAAAAAGTTTGAAGAAAAGAAATAGATATATCGAAAAAATATCGAATTTTTACTTAGCTTTGGACGTTTCGGGAACGAATCTGCTCCCGTTCTCAACATAAAAATGTAAAATATTTTTCTTCAAAAATTCTGCTCTGATCTTGAATCTACCATTTTCATGTTCTATCTATATCAACTGAACAGGAAGCAATGCTATTGTCTCCGTTCAGAAGAATGCAAGCGGATTCCTTAATTTTTCTGTTTTGGTTGTTATCTTCCTTTCCTATGAACTAAAACAGAATTTTCGAAGAAAAATATTTTACATTTTTGTGTTGAGAACGGGAACAGATTCGTTCCCGAAACGTCAGAAGCTTAGTGAAAATTCGATATTTTTTTAATATATGTATATTTCTTCTCTTAAAACCTTTTTCCAAACAAAGTGTCACTGACAAGCTATTGGATTTTTCTTTTTGGCTTCCTGATAGAAAAATTAGTTAAACGCAGTGACATTCTGGGGCAAATCATCTGATTTGTCCTACTATACCTATATTGAAATAATACTCATATTTTTATTTTGTAGAAACGAGCAGAGAAAATCCCAAATAATCAAGTGAACTGAATATTATAATTATAATTTTTATTTATTTCAGTTATTGAATTACATTCTCTTCTTCATTGATACATTTCATACAAATAATATATAAAGTATAATTAATTTTCTAGTAGCAATGACACGAATGATCAGACAGTAATTCCTGGTATAAGATCATTCATGAAGTATTATATCGACTGTTGTATAATTGAAATTACAAATAGTGAACAAAACTTACATATCATTAAGATATCTCAAAATAACAGTCATATTATAGTGAACAAGAAGGGGAAAAATAAAAACAGTGAAAAAAAAAAAGAAAATCCATAGTCTTTCAGCTTTGATCATTCCTTTGCATATAAATATATTTCTTCACTTTATTTTTGAATTGCATAATATTTGGGCTGTGTTTGATATCATCTGGTAATTTATTGAATTTTTAAAAACGATCTACAAGTACCAGCGACTTCTCCTATTTCGTTCTCTAACACAGCTAGAGGATCCGATTAACCTACAAACAGAATTTAATGACACAATGTCTTCATTGTGATATCAGATATAGAAATGAAATTGATACATACAAAGTACCTCATTGATTTATCGAACACAGTGAAACAAGAGCAATTCTGTGTTATAGTCATAAAATAAAACAACATTTCTTGATGTTTATGTCGAATTGTGAAACAAAAAATCAACTCAACTAAACTTAACCAGAATTCTTTCAAAATTCAATTTGAATTCAGAAATGTTGACCTTATAATGAAAACTTCCTTGTCACTTTGCACTTTCACCACCCTGTATCTTGGAAACTGATAATAAGTGCTTCATGAAGATCCATTTTCATGGATATTTCCTCTTATCGTCATGTTTGAAACATCCTGCATATTTTTCATTTGTTTGCAGGTTGACTTCATTTGAGAGCATACAATGTCAGACAGCATAACATAGTAGATGGTCTCTCAAGGAGAGCAGCCCCTTCACAGTGGGGTAAAAGGGAAAACCACACTACAAGAGAAAGTAGCCACATTGTACTACACTCTTGGACTATTTTGTATCACATATCCAGTGTGTGTATTGAGTCTTGCAATCCTAGTTATTATTGTATCATGGTGAGTAAACATATTTTTCCGCAACCGACACAAAAGTCGTCCATTTTGATACCAAAATTAGCTCTTAAATTGACGTTTCAATTACTGACACAAAAATAGGTATGTTGCTAGGCAACATATTTAGTTCCTAGGAGCTAAAGTTGAATTTTAGTTCCTAGGAGCTAAAGTTCAACAGATACAGGGTGATCAAAATTCTGAATCTTGGACCATCCTGTATTTTTTCCAATTAAATGTCAGTAGATAGTTAATCAAAAGTTAACATAGGGACATGTAAGCCGTTTTGACCAATGATAAATAGTTTCGACACAAAAAAATCCTAAAATTGAAAAATCTCGATTTTGAACAACCTATATCTCTGTAATTATTCCTGCTAGACCCCAAGTGTGATGCATTGATGAAATCAGCTCTTCGAGAAGAATCTATAAACGCAATAAAATACAGGGTGTTCCATTTGAAATAACAAAGATGATGCTACTTTTTGGTAAAAGTGGCAACGCTGTTTCGCTGAAAATATTTCGAATCGTTAGATCACAAACGCTTATTAGAGTAACCAAATTTTCAGGATAATCCAATGTACCGTTTTCCGTATACGTCTAAGGTACCATCGACCGTGGGCCACCCTGTATATATATCCATTTTTTTGTGTTCATAAATATATCTGAGAATATTCCTTATCAACGACCTCAGTAACTATGGTGATCCAGATCATGATTGTCATCGGCAACTGAAAATTTTTGTAACAAAGTAGGTAAATCATAAATAAATGAATATTAGTCAAACACGCCACATCGATTGAACGACGTTGATCGCGATGATCGCGATGATACAAATCGAAAAGGCAGCTCAGGAAGCTGAAGGCCAATTATTACCAAGAAAATCTGGAGGACAATATGAATAATAATTATCTGAGTTTATCAAACGGTGCAAAGAACGGACCGTAGAAAACTGTACAGAAGAAAAGGTACTGCTAGCATTTTCTTGGAAAAGTCAAAAAAGCTTGAAGCATCGTCATTGTGGAGCGTATATTCGATGATGAAGGCCACAATTGCAACAGACATTTTGAAAATACATTTCTAAATTTAGCTTTTATCGCAAAGACATTTACTTCCCCTTCGATGTTTCAGAAATAGAGTATCTACCGTTTATAGTTGCATTTAATTTTTTTTTCGTCATTTTTAACGGTTAACCTATCCTAAAGTGCATAATAATAAGGCCCTTTTTTTGTACGAAAAGTGCAGCACATTCGTACACTTCGTGTGGTTTACACCTTATTTGAGCATTCTTTTGAAAAGTGAATTTCACACCAGTGTAGTTTATCTCCACCTGGTCTTGGGCAGGTGTGAATTACACTCGAATTAAATAATTAATAAAATCGCGATAAATGACTCGAAATACATATGTGATTATATTTTTATCAGATATAACACCTGTACTCGGAAATCAGTTAAATCAAATACCACATTTCAAAATTAACTCTGTCCACTTTCGCACTTTTCCTCTTCAATCAAATTTTCTTCATTCGTTTGAAATTCGTTGGTGTAGCTGCACGAAATATCAGCTGATTCATAGTGTAGTGCATTTTACACGACACTGAAAAGCAGACGAAAGAACCTGTGTCGGCGTCAAACAGTGAAATCCGTCATTCAAGTAATTTTCTGAAAAATATACTTTCTAGGAAGAAGGTTCATTTATGCGGAAAATAGTCTCCCTTCGTATGCCGTTGGTCGGACTATGAACTTTTTACTCGGGATTTAAAATACCACTTTAGTCCACTAGGTGTATCAAGCTGAAATATCTACATACAAATATCGGGAAATACAGTTAGAAGGTAAAGAGGTATACACTTTATATTCCATAAAATTGTCTACAGCAACTAAAATGAATTGAAATGTTTCATATTAGTGAGATTTTTAAGTAGTATTACTTTTTCGCATTCGGTGCGGATGAAAATCTTAACCTCACGGCGTGCGGAAAAGTTTGACTGCGCACGAAATTGTGTGCAGAAAAGTACGACTCTGCGCACGCTCGTAGGGAAAACGTATTTTCGCCAAAGGCAGTGAACACTGATTTTTTTTTTAGTTTCAAACATGATGAATCTTGCAGTATTTTGAAGCTAGTAGTAGAAACAAGAATATTCCGACTGAAACTGTACATAATTATAGGTTCTAAAGTTATCTAGATTGGTCAATCTAGGTGATAATCTAGGATAGAACAAAAAAGTATGGTACTGCCATTACGATATTCACTCTTGAAAAGGGGGGGAACACAAAAAGGTTTTTTCGAGAATGAATTCTTCGTTTTTATTGAATTAAGAGGAATTTTCATATATGGACATACTTCATTGATCATCTCAGGGATTGGTCCCAGACTGCAACAGATTATGAACCTTCTAATTATAATAATACGAACAAATCGCGAGAGCTTGCTAGAGCGATGTTTTTAAACCACCGTCAAAAAATGGCAAGATTCGTGCATAGATATCAATATGCGTAGTGACAATTTTTTCAGATTCCTACGTTCCTTGTTATTTTAAGAGTTTTAATGATTTTGTGTAGTATGCATTTTTTCTTTTTATATTTGTAGAACCTCTGTTTTAAAGAAGGAGTGTTAATTTTTTTCGAGTTGAGCTAGCATTTTGTAGGAATATTTAAAATACTGCAATTTTATTTTTATCAACAAGAAAAAAAACTCAATCGTCTCCACAAGTTTACTGTCGAAATGTGCAGTTGACTCTGATTCATTACTTTTGACTGGGACATATTTCGATCATTCAAATGGTCATCATCAGTCATCATGATGTTGAGTAAGAACAATTTTTCTTTGTTGATTTTTTTTCGAATTTATTTTAGGGAGTTTAATACATACTAACTATAGTGTGAAGACAATTTGGTTTGAAAAGGAAACGACGTTGAGTCGAAAATTATCTGACAATTGTTGTCAAAGTATAGAAGTGTGTTGATTGAAAGCAAAGTGCATATTTATCGGTTATTGGAAACGCTAGGTAGGCTTTTATTACTACAAATGACTGGTGTTTGGCCGGTTTTAGGTTGAAGAAATCTCATTGGTTCTTAGAATAGGCGTGTATTAGTCACTGGAAAAAAATAGTTGTTCGAAAAAGGTTGAATGAAGGAAAAGTCAGTGATACTTATATTTGTTTCGTTCTATCAACATCTGGAACACACTGCCCAGATTTTCTGTGACACCCTGTAGATGGAAGAGGTTTATGATATTGTTGTTTTTCTTAGGGTCGTAGCAGAACGATTCAATTTTTAACTAATAATTCAACGGAATAATGCCCAATAGATGTCTACAATGTATACCCTACTGATCACTTCCTTTCATTTTTTTTGTGAAATATTAGTGCCGTGAAGTCCTACACGGTTCGCATAATATGTAATTAAAAATCTGAATACTTGTATCAAAGTAACGAATCATATTATAAGTAATTTCATCAATCAAATGGTCATTTGGTTATTCCATAGTTATCATAGGTCATCAAGCAGGTTAAATGATATTTGATTACTTAGGGTACCCATAACTAACTATATGTTAGTTTGGTTCGACATATTATTTCGCTACAATTTCAATATTATCATAAGGGAATACATAATAATGCAGTTAAAAAAAACAATGCCATTTTCAACTTTCTCATGTAACCTTGTTACAGCAATTACTTATCTCGACTCTAATAGCATAATGTAAAGTATGTTAAATAAGCAACATGATTTGATAAATATATCCATATTATGCAATAAAAATACTGATTGATATAAACAATCTATAGGGTGTTTCTGTTTGTTCTATATACAGCTGACAATGCATTATTCATTCATGTGTAATTCCTGTATTTCTAGGGGAAATTTGAATTATCTGATCTTATATTTCTAAAATTTGGTACAGAGGGCTACAATTTATCACAAATCTTTCAGCTAAATTCAATTTGGTATCCCAAATTAGCGAATATTTTGAAAGGGTGGAAGTGGAAAGTATTCTCACTATATTTATCAAAATATAAATAAAATGAATACACATATTGAGCACAGCAATATGCTGACGTCTAACAAAAAATACCACAATATTGAATTTTTCCTATGTCTTTAAATTAACGAGATATTTCATCTCGAAAATTTATGAAAAATTGGAAAAAAAATTCCTACTACGAGAATATTCGCTCAACTGCGTTTAAGTGGAAAAAAATCTGTAAAATTTTTGTTCGGAAACTGCTGCTACGTTATTAATACAGGCAAAATATGTTCAATGTGAAACTTATTAGAATTTGAGACTGTAGACCACTTGATAATAATAATAATAATAATAATAATAATAATAATTTTTATTTTCCAATGGACACGATATACATGTATAGGAATAGTCAAAAAAATAGTCAAATATACCTGACAGAGGCACTAATAAATATAGGAAGTGATAAAATATTGTAGAACATAATATAAAGGAGCAATACACAAAGATATACAATAAAGAGTAAGATAAAAAATTTATAAGTGCATAATGGTTGAGATGAACTAACATGAATAAAATGAAAACACTAACCCTGTACATGTGGAGCAAAATACTCCTCTAAAGTATAGGGACATTTTTCAATGAGGAAATATTTTAACCTATATTTGAAACTATTCAAGCTCACAATATTTTTGACCTCACGCGGGAGATGATTGAATACTCTCAGTCCTAAGTATGACGGAGAGTTGGAACTCACCTTGTATTTGACGTATGGAACATGGAATTCGTCATTACGCCTAGTTTTAATATTATGAATATTTTCATTTCGAGGAAAATCATTCTTATTATCGAAGACATAGAGACACAACTCAAATATAAATATGCCTACGACAGGTGAAAGTTCATTTTTGAGAAACATTTTCCTATAAGAATGTCTTTTTGGAACCTTTGCTATAATTCTGAGGCCTTTTTTTGTGCAATAAACACATCCTGTGATAATGTGGATCCACCCCAAAGAAGAATACCATAACGTATTCTCG